CCCCAAAACCCCAAAACCCCCTTAGGCTATGATGTGTGATTAATGTAAAGGATGTGAAAAAATAGTTAATTAATAAAAATTATTAAAATAATAATGGGAATCTAACAATAACTTAAAATAACTCTATTCTCAACTTTTCTGCTGCTATCTGTTGTATATGGCTAAACAATATACGGGCCAATGAACTCATAAGTTTTTTCCCCTATGTACTCGGCTGAGTGGCAGACTATCAATGAGCTAGATGGTGCTTTGAAACTCTAAGTGTCTCTAACTATCTAAGCTTTGCCGTATGACACATGGTCAGATTAAAATCAAGACGGTGTTTGGCTGGGAATAGGCTTTGGATCATAGGTAATGGTTGGATCTGATATCGTGATGTGTGAATTTAAATTTTCTGGGACAGCTGCTGCTGATAAGTTTATTTGCTCAGATAGAAAGGCATCAGCTTACTCTATTCCACCCAAAGACACAACCGAAAATGTAGTCTATGTTAATACCTAAAAGAATTTTGACCCAGTTACTAAAACATGCACATTAATTGCAACATTCAAGAGAAATCTTTACACTGATGATCAGAATGACCAGGATTTCAAATTAAGAGATGGTGACACCGTTGATGCACTATGGGCATGGGGTTATATTCAAAGCAATAATCCTTAAGGCCATGGCTCATCCGATTTAAAGAGAGATGGCTTCAGAATGAGATTGTTTTCAATTAGTGAAGCTACAATGTTTGGAATGAGTTGTTTGTTTAGTATAATTGCAATGTTTGCTGCAATGATCCTTATTTGATATGAATTCAAGATAATTATAACCTATTTACTTTTATTAACTTCATTGAATAATACTTAGTGTGGGAAAAATAAGCATTAATTCTCAGTTAAGTAATCTATTCTTCATCAAACAGCATTTAAATTTTAAATTTCTCGAAAGCCAATTTAATTAGTTTTGATATAAGACTACTTGGGGTTTTGGGGTTTTGGGGTTTTGGGGTTTTGGGG